GTTTAATTAAAGAATTGCCTCCCAGAAGTTACGTCTTCAAGTCAATCACTACATATGTACCAGATACAAAACATTTGATTTTGGATTGTTCCTTTGGCGCGATGGAGCCGTTGTCTGAGCATTTGACTCACAATCGGAACGCCGTGAGTTCAAACTCAGTTGTGGGGGTCCACTCAGGCTAACACCATCACTCCAAGGTGGGATAAAACAACAAGCTTTTTCCAGGAAGTCGACCAAAACAATTGCCTTGGTAAAGCCGAGTCCTCGACATGCGAATGTGGAATTTACGCCACCAGCACAGTTCCGCCAAGGGGCATATTCGTTGGCCCCACAAAGATGGAAACATTTTGACTTCGGGTCTTGACGCTGATGAAACGACGGCCGTCGGGTGAGAACAGCAACAACAAAAAAACGCACTACCCATTTATAAAAAAAAAAATGCAAACTCTATCTCACGACCTCTGCAGTCCAGCTCCACGCTCGCACACAAACCCGGCCATTGTGAGCCCCCACCCTCCCAGCACGAGAAGCGGTGGAGGGGGGGGGGGGCGCGTGCGCTGCAGACAACAAGACACGGGTATTTGTGCTGCCGCGCCGGTGCATTCCAGTGCCACCCACGCGCGTGCTCGCTAATTCGCTCGATCAGACAAGCGCGGTCCCTTGTGGGGGGCCCTGGGCCTCAACCGCCTTGTGGCCCGGTCCGGGCCACAAGGCGGTTGAGGCGCAGGGGAGCGGTCTACGTCCCGGCCGCCCCCCCCCCCCCCCCCCCCTTTTTTGACGGAATTATTTCGACGCAACCGGCACGCCGCTCGCAGGCTCGTGCCAGAAATCGCGGTCTCGTCCCCCGGCGGGCTTCTCCCGGCCCCCCGTTCGCTTCCGACGAAGTGTAAACACCGATACTCGAGTACAACAACGTCTCCATATCTTGTAGATACCGTGTGTGCTGGCGACGTCTGGCGCGCGCGGCCGTGTGTGTGTGTGTGTCCGCGGCTGTTCCTGCATTCGTTTTTTTGAAGGCTTGGTGAAGATTGTGAGAAGCTCCTCTTCCCCGTGACTCTTGCCACGGTTCAGTCACTGCGCTGTGACTGCCATGGCACCTTTGGTGCAATGGTGCAGTGATTGTTTTTTAATATTATTATCATCGTGACTAAAATTGTTCACCCAGGAGGAGTCTCAAGATTCATTTTCAAGAGGGTCCTGCCAGGTTTTTACAGGAGGGCTAGCATTGCTACTATTCAATCCCAAATTGAGTCATTAGTGGGTAACTTTTCAGCAATCAGATGTTCGGTCAATACCACTTACAATGTATGGGGGTTTCTTTTAGCTATGGGAGGAAACCGGAGAACCCAGAGGGAACCCACGCAAAACAATACGGGAGAACATACAAAATCCACACAGGTGCCCGAGTCAGGAATCGAACCCAGGCCATTCTTGCTGTGAGACATCGCCGTTAGCAGTGCGCCACGCTGATGTCCCTACAGTGATGCGCTCTCTTGAAAGTAACTTTTTTTAAGTGTGATTTTTTTTCTCATAACGAGTGAAGGTTTAATACAGGATTGCCTCTGTGATGATCGGCCGTGATCGGTGGCATTCATTTACCCGAGGAAGCCTCTGCTGAGTCTCAAGGCTCTCTTTTGTGAGGGTCCGGCCTTTGTGCCGCTTGGCCAGAACTGTTTAAGAATGATTGGCTGCTAGTGGGAGGAAGTGCTAGTGCCCAAAGCAAACCCCACACACCCTCAAAGGCCCCCGCACGGACAGATTCAAATCGCAGACAGACTCAGTCCAGTGAGTGGCCCAAATCCGTTGGTGGTGGGCCAGTCCCAAGGCAGCGCTGCAAATCTATTGGCACCTCACGCAAATGAGCCTGAAGCTGGTATTCACCAGTGGCTATCTATTGAAACATTAACCAGACTACTTGGGATCCTGCTTAGCTTTCGAGATCCGATGAGATTGGGTGCAGTCCAGGTGCTCTGGCCGTCCATACGTGGCAAGAGATATTTGCCTTTGGGGTTGCGAGTTTAAAATAACAGCGATCGCTAATGGACCCGTCCACCCAGAAAAGCTAACACCTTATTTCAGGCTATGGCTTTTTTGCTGCTGCAGCAGCAGAAGGAGGCGGCGAGTAATTGCGAGTAATTGTTTTACAATTTGCCTTATTTCAAACAATTAAGCAGGCAGCGCTTTCGAATTGGCTGCACCGAGTCACGAGAGGAAATTCTACATTCCCTTGACGAGGCCACTCGTGCCAATGCAGATTTCCGCTGCCAACTTTCTTCAAGCCTGTAGTAGTTTTTTTACAAGCCTCAGTTCCATGCTGGTGATGATGAGTATTTTGGGCTGGATAATACCCGAAACTGCACTTAAACTCATGACTTCCCAACTGTGAGCCGCCAAGTTGAACGTTCTCATCTAAAACACTTTTTTTATAGAAACTTAAAAGTATATTTATATAAAAAATACGCACGTACGTTTGTTTGAACGTCTTTCGCACCACCGTACGTAGCCAACCTCCCGTGCTAACCCGAGGTGCGGGGGAAGGACAACAAACGATCTCAAAGGAAAGAACACGGAGTCTTTCCATTAATTAGGCTCGGTTATTGCTCGGTGATACCCCTGCGGAGAACTTTGAATCTGGGGAGATGAGGGGGAAAAAGTGAGGGGGCCTGTGGGGGTGGAGGGGGGCCTGTGGGGGGCTGGTTGAGCTGTCTGACAGCGGCTGCTGGTGTCTCAGGGAGCCAGCACACGAAGGCCGGCTTGTTGTTGTTGTTTGTTGTTGTCCCACCGTAGTCGCGTCTTGTGCAGTGGATCCTCGCCGCCATGTCTACTCTCCCGATGTTCGATTTCTCAGAGATGATAATTCTCGTGTATCGTCTGGTTCTAAAGGGCGATTCACCTCCATATGCTCGGCGTTGCTCAAATGCGGGTTATTTATTTATTTGGTTGTTTTTCAAATCGTTCCCTGTTTCTTCAATTTCAAGTAAAAAAAAATTGCGTGTGCCTCAAACGACTTGAGATAATCCAAGAAGAAAAAAATCACCACATTCGCCTTAAAAGAACAAAAGAAAACCTATTAATCGGTGACTTTTTGGGCACGTGATATGAAGGACCATTCCGCAAAAAACGTCGCCTATCATTTAACTTTTTTCCTTTAAGGCCACAGTGTTTGTTATTGACGAAGGCGTTGAGTATTTTTGTTAATTATATTAATTGTGCTTGCGCACCACCGCCGAGCACCTCCGACTCGCGCGGTCGGCTACGTACGGCGGTGAACGAAGCTCAACATACGTACTGTCCGTACTGTACGTAGAACGCGGGGGCAGCGGTCGTCGGCAGGTGATGTGACCGCGACCCAGGTCGCCCTTGTACTGAGGCAGTGGTGTTTCACGCCTCTCCCTGGCTTCGCTCGTTCTCCTGGTCTGCGCCAAGCGGTATTCGCCACTGAATCGCGCATCAACACGCGTACGTACCGTGCACCGCGCGTTCCCACGCTCCGTCCTTCACAGTCGGGGTGAGAATTGCCTCCAAACGATGATGATGATGATGATGTTGATTATGTCGTGGGGCAGTCATTCGTGCTCGGGCCGGCCTCCGTGGCCTCGCTGCCGTGGAGGACCGGGCTCCATCGCGAGAGAACAATTCCCGTGCCGAATCCAGGAATCCCACCGAGTGATTCTGACGAGGCCATTACGAACCCCCTGAACCCAGGGGTCGGCAATCAAAATTACAAGAAGAGAGGGGTTTTTTTTGTCGAATTTGGTGGAAAAATAAAGAAAAAATCTAAACTTCCAGAGCCGCAGCGCACGTGAAGACGAGACAGCGGTCTCTTAATGAGTAACGTCACGAAGCAGTTCCTGAAAGAGCTGCAGGCTGCCGACTCGCTGCCCTCAGCACCTCGAAGTGGACTACGGAGGAGGAGACGACCCAAGGGTGGATGGGGACGCTGAGGTCGTGTGTTGTAGGCGCTGCTTGAGGGACGTGTCGAATGTGAGGCGGACGAGAAGACTTCGCTCCACGTGGTGGTGACGGCGGTGGTCAGACTAAGGCCCACGTATTCTGGGTCACGGCTCGGCTCGCGCTCGTCTCTGGCTCAAAGCGAGCCGTGGCTCAGGGCCTTGAGCCAGGGTCGCAGCCGAGCTCAGGGTGTGTCCCCGTGAGCTGAGCCCGAGCCGAGCCACGGCTCGGCCGCTCGTTCGCTCATTCGCGCCACTGAACGCAGCCGAGCGGCTCGCGAGCCCAGCTAAGCAGCGTGAGAAGCCGAGCCGGGGCCGGGACGCAGCCCCCCGGGGAGCGGCCGTCCGGACGCCGGGCGTCGGCCACCTTCGCCGGCGGCTTTGGGAGTCTTGTCCGCACGGTCTCATATCCGCAGGAGCGACAGTTGTGGACTTTTCGCCAATTTGTTCCCTAGTTTACTCACTCCGAACATGACGGTGAGGACGGGGCTCGAGTCGAGGATTTCAACTCTCGAGCCTCCCCTGTGGGTGCGCGTGAGCCACGTGCCCTGGGCACGGCGTCCGTCTTGGATGTTTGCTTCGACCCGTCCCGGGGAATATAAACAACGCCGACGCTCGCTCCGCTGGCTTCGCTTTTGTTATCGCTCACTCGGGTCTGTTTTTTGTTACCGGCGACCGTGCCCCTCGGCGACGGAGCGCTCGTTCCGTTTTAGATGTCGCGTTACCCGCGTGGGACCGCGCTTGCGCAAGGGGAGTTGACATCGCGGAGAGAAAGGCAAAGGACGACGACGATGATGATGATTCCCTGCGGCTTCTGATGATAACGATGTTTATTGTTGTGATACTACTACTGTTGCCGCTGCCGCTGGTCTTGGTGCCGGCAACATTTTTCCGAACGCCGTGTACACGTTTTGCAACGTAAGAGCCGGCGAGCGCGGAGAGTGCCATGTGGACAGGGAAGCGTTGGCACAGACGGCCGTCGCGAGGCACGCAGAGGGAGAGACTGCGTGACCGTCACTGTGCCGCCCCCCCCCACCCCGGCCCTCGCAGATCCCTCAGCGCAGATGAACGGCCCCCCCGGTGTTGTCGCACCACCACATGATGGGCGCTGGCCCGCAGCACCACGGCCTGCACCATGAGCTCCCCCACCACGGCATCTCCTCCTCCTCGTCGCCCATGGGCGGCGGAGACCTTTCCCCGCCCGCGCTCAACGGCATGTGCTCGCCGTACCCGGTCATCTCCTCCTCCACCGTGGGGCACAACCTGCACACGCCGCCGTCCTCCCAGCACGGCGTGTCCTACATGGGCGGCCCGCAGGTACGCACGAGCAGGCATGCATGCACACACGCACGCAAGCACAAAACAAAGATCCCCGTATAGCCTGAACAGACTGTTGGGGCAAGTGCTGTTAGCGAGCACCTATGAAGGCCGGCACGGCACACGAGGGGGTGGGTGGCCACCAACACGTCCGGCCGCCTTTGTCTCCCCGGTGGCGATGTTTATACACCGTACCAGGTACCCATTTGAGGCTGAGTCGACCTAGGGATAATCGTCACTGGTTTTGGTGGCCATGACCCAGGGTTCAAAGCGCACCGCGCTAACCGCTCCACCACCGCACTACACACGCACACCACGCTGGTCACACTCTGCCACCCGTTAGGGCGGTCGCCGCCTACAGAGCTCGTCACCGGAGATCGGTCCACATCGGGCACCTGGAGACCCCTGCCATCGGAGATATTTTTTTCACTTTGTTGTCTGATGGCATAATCGGAGGACCGACCTGTTGTCTGGAGGTCCTCTCGGAGAGACCAGCCTGTGAGTCTACCGTCAAGCCATCTCGTCGGAGACCGGTCTGCCCGTCTCTTGGCGTAGCGTGCAAATATAGACAGTTAAAAATAACACCGCCAAAAACACAAACAAAATAATGCATGTGAAAGTTACGATGGAGACATTTTTTTCTCGCTTTGACTTTCAGTCTGTTTCAAGGTCCCGCGCTTTAGTGAGATGCTGTGGTGTGGTGTGTCACATCGGCGGGGCTGATGTCACATCCACTTACTCTCACGTCGCCGCGCGTGCTCCCACGGCCTCTCCTCTCTCGCTCCGCAAAACCCCTGCGCCTCCTCCTTGCACGAGGCTGCCTGCAGGTTTTTTTCTTTTCCCAATAAAAACTGCATTATCAGTGCGATGACAGAGAATAAATTACCTGCCTAATCAATATCGTCAAAAAAGGAAATATCAAGTCGTGCTGCTCACAGAAGCATCAACGATTCGTAACAAATACAGCCGCTTTGTTGATCCACTGGTGGATGAAGGCCTTTCTACTGCCGTGTCAGTCTTGGGCAGTTGTTTGGCCATACTTCATCCATATTGGTCAGTATATTTTGGCGACGAAGCAAGCACAGGGACGGTTCAGGTACCTGAACCGTTCGCCACTTATGTTAGCCACGGTCGGGAATCGAACTCGGGCCGCCACAGCGGGTCCTTAACGACTGCACCGCCGCGGGCGCATCATTTGGCGAAAGTGGCAGCATCCCGGGGCCACTGGTGGAATTTACACATTCCCGTGGCCAATTCCAGTCTCAAGACTTTTTCGAACTCCCAGAAAGTGGTTCTCATTTTATCATTCCAGAGGTACAATGACGACGACGACGATGGACCGAGCTGATCCCAAGTAGCGGTTTGACTTAACGGCCTCCCAGTTGCGTCATCAGCGCTCTGATCACCGAGCCGTGGTCACACTCTCTCTGTTGTAGCCGCCGTATCGGGGGGGGGTGTCGGGGGGGCGGCCGCGACTCGTGCCAGACAACGGCTCCGGAAGGCGACGCTGACGAATCTACCCCTCGAGTCACTCCAATAGGGCTCCGTCACGCAGCGCTAGCGGGCGCTCCTTCGCCGTACGTGGCCACTGCAGAGAGAGAGCGGCGCCACCGCGTTCCCAGCCGTCGACTTGGCTGGGACCGCCAACCCCACTGGACACGACAACCATGCGGCGTTGTCGCAGGCAGCAAAGACGGCAATTACATTAATTCTATCCTTTGTGTCTTATTATTATGCTTGTTTACCCAGGAGAGGAGTGTGACTTTTTCTGGAGGGCAATATCAAAACATTTTTTTATTATTATTTGCCACATTTGGACCGTGATGCCGACAGGCATCAGACCTCTCTCGCGAACGACGTCACGGGATCCCATTGTTTGTTGTATCGTCCGCTGCAAAGCGAACGGTGCGTGGCGTCGCTACTGCCCCGGCGGCTGCCTTGGCAACCGCGGGATTTACCGCTTGCGGACGCTGGGATTCTCACCGCGAACCTCTGCGACAAGCGCCGTGCCAACGATTTGCCATGGAAATCCTCGCCGAGTCTCAGGGCTCCGTCTCAGGGTGGGGTGTGCTGCACCGGGATGCTGTTGGCCAATGCCTTGAGTGAGAGTTTGGCTCCGTGCAGCAGGAAACCGTAGAGATCGCACGTGATGGTGTGACGTTCACAAAGTGGTTGGTACGGTACTGTACTTTAGTGGTGGCCGTGGTGGTGGTGATGGTAGAATCGTTGTGATCGTAGTGATGGTGGTAGTGTGGAAAGAGTTGTTGGTGGTGGTGGCAGTGGTGGTGGTAGAGAAGGTGGCGTTTGTGATGATATTTGTGGGAACGGTGGTCATGTTAGCAGTGGTACTGGTTGTGGTGGTGGTGCTGTTGGGGAGTGGTGGTGCAGCGGTTAGTTCGATTCCCACTCGGTCCTGGGCTTTCCCAGGGTCGACTCAGCCTAAATCGAGTTCCTGGTGCGGTGTAAACATCAGATTAGGCCTCCGTGTTAAATTGTAAACATCAGCACTGGGGGGATAAAGGCGCCCCGTGCGTGGCGCTGGCCACCCACCCCCTCGTGTGCTGGTGCCGGCCTTAATGCGTACTCTCTACAACACTTGCCCCAACAGTCTGTTGAGGCTATATTGGGCATCTGTGTCTTTGTTGGCAGCGATCTTGATTGTCGTGGTAGCGGTGGTAGTGGTGGTGTGTGAGTAGCAGTGGTTGTGGTGGGCTGGCGGCACTAGTGGTGTAGTGGTTTTGGTGGTCCTGGTGGTGGTGTGTGAGTAGCAGTGGTTATGGCGAGCGGTAGTGTAGTGGTTAGCGCGCTGCACTACGAGCCTGGCGACCCGAGTTCGATTCCCGCTCACGGCCAACACCACCGACGATTATCTGAACCGGTCATGGGCCTCCCCTAGGTCGATTCAGCCTAAAATTAGTACCTGGTGTGGTGTCTAAACATCGCCACTAAGGATACAAAGGCGGTGGTGGTTGGTGCTGGCCACCCACCCCCTCGTGTGCCGTGCCGGCCTTCAAAGGTGCTCGTTAACAGCACTTGGCCCAGCAGTCTGTTGAAGGCTATACGGGGGAGCTTTGTCTTTGGTGGGCTGGCGGCACTAGTGGTGTATGGTGGTGTTGCTGGTGGTTGTGGTGGTTGCTATATTGGTCGTCGTGTTGCTGATGTTATTGTTTGTGACGCCCCGAATAATTCATCGCCTCGTACAGGCTGCTGTTTTAACCAGCAGCAGAATATGAAACGAGTCGGATCGTTTTTGGCTGCAGGCGACGAGTGAAGCGCATTTCCCTTAATAACTTGAGACTGGAAATGCTAATTAAACCTTTCATAAAGTTTACGTGAACTGCATGGTGCACACATCAGAACGCACACACACGCACGTACGCACGTACGCACGCACGCACACACGCACATGTCCAAAGACAGAGATCCCCCACAAAGGCTTAACAGACTGTTGGGGCAAGTGCTGTTAGCAAGCACCTTTGAAGGCCGGCACAGCACACGAGGGGCTTGGGTGGCCAGCTCCATGCCCGGCCGCCTTTGTCTTCCTAGTTGCAATTTTTACACACCAGGTACACTTTTGAGGCTAAGTCGACTTAGGGGAGGCCCATGGTGTTGGCCATCAATGGGAATCGAACTCAAAAGTGTACCTGTACACACACACCACGCAAATACACACACACGCGCACAAACACACACACGCGCTCAAACACACACACGAGCACAAACACACACACGGGCACAAACACACACACACGCACAAACACACACACACGGGCACAAACACACACACGCGCACAAATACACACACACGGGCACAAACACACACACGGGCACAAACACACACACGCGCACAAATACACACACACGGGCACAAACACACACACGGGCACAAACACACATACGCGCACAAACACACACACACGGGCACAAACACACACACGCGCACAAACACACACACACGGGCACAAACACACACGTGCACACACGCGTGCACACACAAAAACACGCACGCACACACATACACATACGCGTATACACAAACACGCGCACACACTAACATACGCGCACAAACACACGAGCACAAACACACGCGCGCACACAAACACAACAACAACAACCGCCATTCGCCACTAAGTGGCGGTGACGTCACCACGACGCTTGTGCCAGACCATGTGCACCTTGAGGCCACGTGAAGTGTCGAACGCCCGCTGGCTGGAGGTCACGGGGCAGACCCAGGTGCCACGGGTCGACTGACTGAGATGACTGAGATGACTGGCTGATGCACCACCTCTGCCCCCTACTGTGCCAACCTGCTGTGATTTAGCAACCCGGCGCTCCGCTCGTTGTTGTGAGCGTCGCTCCTCCGCCCTCCGTTGTTGTTGGAGGGCGACTGCCTCCAACTGCCCAGTAGCGTCTTTCACGAGCCTCCTCCACAGAGGCCGATCTTGACACCGCTGGTACCAGTCATTGGCAAGTCCACTCAGCTCCACGTCCTCCTGTACCACATCACTGCATCTCTTCTCTAGCCCGTGCCGCGTCCGTTTAGCCCCCTCGATCCGGCCGAACAAAAGCTGTTTCGGCATGCGGTGGCTGGGCATGCGGGCTACATGACCCAGCCAACGCAGCCTTGCCTGCTGGAGGAGCTCACCGATGGGACCGTGCCCAGATCTTTCAAGGATTTGTGAACTCCTCACACAATCCAGCCTGGTTAAACCCAGGATGGATCGTAGGCAGGCCAGCCTAAATGTTTCTAACCAGTGAGGATGTTCCATTAGGGGGTCCACGTTTCGCAAGCATAGAGAAGGGAGGGAATGACCGTGGCCGAGAAGACCTGAAGCTTAGTGTGGAGCGACAGACCAGGTAGCTTCCACACAGCGTTACGCAACTGATAAAAAGATATTGCCGCTCGACTGATTCGGAGTGAGACCTCTGCTGTTAAACTGGAACCGGTCATAAGCACACTGCCCAGGTATGGGAAACTCTCCACTCTCTCCACAACTGCC